GGCTGGGTGCGGTGGCTCATGCCTGTAATCCCAGCACTCAGGGAGGCCGAGGCGGCTGGATCATGAGATCAAGAGTTCAAGACCAGCCTGGCCAAGATGGTGAAACCCCGTCTCTACTAAAAATACAAAAATTAGCCAGGCGTGGTGGCAGGCGCCTGTAGTCCCAGCTACTCAGCAGGCTGAGGCAGATAATTGCTTGAACCCGGGAGGCAGAGGTTGCAGTGAGCCAAGATGGTGCCTGGGCAACAGAGTGAGAGTCCATCTCAAGAAAATAATAATAATGAATAAAAATAAAATAAAGTGTGCTTCGTATGATAGTCATTTGGTTGGAATTTGACCAATGTGTCTTTCATCATTTTGCTTCCAGCCTGTTTCAGATGTGGTTCTTGGGCATATAGTTGGATTTTATTTTGTATTCTGTCTGGAAAGTTTTTTTGTCTTTTAACAAGATAACTTGGTATTTTGCATTTAATAAAATCAGCAACATACGTGGATTCATAACCAACCTTTTGTGTTTTTTCTTATCTACCTCTTCTGAGTTTTTTTCTCCTTTATTCTGTTCCTTTAGTTTAATATTTTTTCTTCGTTTTTCCTGCTTGTAAGTTTGAAAGTTATAACCCGGCTTCTAAGAGATTTGCCTAAAAATTACAATAATGGCAGGAAAAACACTGTATTTGCTTTACTGTTTTAAATCGGGAAGTGTTATGTAATTATATCCCCTATGTCTCTACTTATGTAATCTTTCTCCTTTCTAAAGTTATGTCTGTGTCTCCTTTTTTTCTCCTTCATATTTATTTTATTTGCCTTTTTTTTTTTTTTTTTTTTTGAGACAGAATCTTGCTCTGTTGCCCAGGCTGGAGTGCAGTGGCACAATCTTGGCTCACTGCAACCTCCACCTTCCTAGTTCAAGCAATTCTCCTGCCTCAGCCTCCTGAGTAGCTGGGATTACAGGCGCCCACCACCACACCCGGCTAATTTTTTTGTATTTTTAGTAGAGATGGAGTTTCACCACGTTGGTCAGACTGGTCACGAACTCCTGACCTCAGGCAATCCGCCCATCTTGGCCTCTCAAAGTGCTGGGATTACAAGTGTGAGCCACCACGCCTGGCCTTATTTGCCTTTTTTGAGCATCAAATTTTACTTTTATTGACCATATGTACATTTTTATTTTCTAGTTTATTATTTCTGCTTATAATTTTGTAAGTTCTTTTCTTCTACTTTAGGGGATTTATCTTATTCTGTTTCAAGTTTCCTGAGTTGAAACAGCATATTTCAAGTCAACCTTTCTTGCTTTTAATAAAAGTGTTTATCTTTGAGACCAGCCTGACCAAAATGGTAAAAATCCCGTCTCTACTAAAAATATAAAAACTTAGTCGGGCGTAGTGGCAGGTGCCTGTAATTCCAGCTACTTGGGAGGCTGAGGCAGAAGAATCCCTTCAACTCGGAAGGCAGACATTGCAGTGAGACGAGGTCGCGCCATTGCACTCCAGCCTGGGCAACAAGAGCAAAACTTCATCTCAAAAAAATAAAAAATAAAAATGAAAATTAATAAAAAATAAAAGTGCTTATCTCTACCTACATTTTCTCCCGATAACTACTTTGACCACCTCATGGTTTCAGCATATACAGTACTCTTGTAATTCATTTCTAAATCGCTTGACTTTTTCATTTCGATTTTCTCTTAAAAACTCAGAATTACGGCCGGGCGCGGTGGCTAAAGCCTGTAATCCCAGCACTTTGGGAGGCCGAGACGGGCGGATCACGAGGTCAGGAGATCGAGACCATCCTGGCT